AGCATCCGTGCAACTTGGACCAAGAGTTTGTCAGGAGTGTGGTTCAAAACTGCTTGGAAAAAGGGATGAGGTAATAATACTGGTGAAGCATGTTGCATTTTTATCTTACTTCCTGTCTCTTTTTTTCTCCTTCTCCTCTGTTTTTTTTTTTTTTTTTTTTTTTTTTTAAAGCCAGGCCTGTTTTGGGTTATTGTCTCCCCCTAAAGCCAGACATAGATCGCCTGGCCTTGCCTCCATTTTAATTGCAGGCTGAAATGGGGGAAGTGACCCTCTTTAAAAAAAGAAATACAAAAAAACCCAACAAGCAAGCAAACAAAAAAACCTTGAAAAAATAATGCTGTTCCTTTGGGGGGGATAGAGGTGATTTTTCATAAGCCTGTAACAAGTGCAAAAGTGGCTGGAAATGTTCTCTGCCTTGCTGGGAAACTAGTGAGGTGTCCTCCCCACTCCCCAGAAAAAAGTGCTGGTAGAATTTGGTGGAGGGGAGAAGGAGAGGTGCTTGGAAAAGCAGGGGTTGTGCTGCTGGATTGCCTTTGTGTCTCTGTAAATAGACATGTCAGTTCCCAAAGTAATACAAGTAGTGTCTGATAACTCAATCCCAGATGACAAATAGAGAATGGAGCAGATTTTCAGGACTGTAATAGTGGGAGGATTTCTCTTTTGAAACGGAGAGGAAAAAAAAAAATGCTGGTACCTCCTGAGGAGGTTCTTCCCCGGCGCGTTATTGTGGAGCGGAGCATTCGGATGGAATCCGGAGACATAAATCCATATTTATTTATTTTTACACCTGACCGGGGAAAGATAAACAAAGGAGAGTTTAACAGCTCTTTAATGAATTCCTCATGCTTTTTATTTTGCAATCCCAATGATTCATTTGGCAAGCCTTACAGAACGGGATTATTATCAGCATTGTTTAAAGCCATGCTAATTAGGAGATGTGTTTAGCAAACAGTGGCATTGTAGACACCTGTACCAAAGTTCTTGCGTGCGTTTTAATTGCATCACCGGTATCATTTTTAGCATTTAGTCCCTGTCATTGAGATGTAGGTCTCAGTTTGTGGACTCGATCAAGTATTTATTGAGTGTGGGTTCTCTCTATGCACAGATCAGCCCTGCTACTAATGCATTAAATGTGTTTTCTCAAAAAGGACAAGGAGTATTTTTTCTCCTTCTATTTTCCTGTAGGGATTATAAGAAAAGGCAGTGATACCCAAGAAGAGTGAGAAAAATGTAATTTTTGAAGAAAAAGCTTTCTGTGGCTGGATAGCTCTTTCACTTTAATCAATACCTCACTTTTATGCTTTTATAGCCTCTTTTAATTGGAAATAAAATTTGACTTTCCCCTTCTAAACTCTCTCACTGTTTGTCAAGTTTTATATTTTGAAATCCTTAGTGATGGAAAAAATGGGTGGAGTGTATTATTAGTCACAATATTTTCATCATGCGGTGAGGAATTACAGCTTTGAGGTGTTTTTTGGGCACTGACAGGGAACGGGCAGAGCAGCTGCCCCGTAGGTTGGAGGGAGAGCTACAGGACAGGATTCAGGGGGCTCCCAAATTGCTGAAAAATATTCCATGGTTTGGTGCGTTCATGGGATAACTGTAACTGAAATAGAAAACGAATCTTTTGGTTTTGATGCAGCGTGTCCAGGAGGGGGAAACTCACTCACAGTGAAACTTCTCTCGCGGTTGTTTTCATAGACTGTGTTCGCCTGGGTGGAATTGAGGCACTTTCTGTCTGGTACCAAAAACGGGGCATTCTAGTAACTCTCGCCTTAGGTGTTTATTCCTGTGCTTTAAATGCTGCTCCATTCTGGAGTGTGTAGGACTGAGCCTTTGAAAACATGACCTGTACTTGAGGTTCTTGGAGACTGGAGAAAATGGGCCACTTTCTCCCCGTGGTCTTTGTTTTCTGGGACAGTTGTACAACAGTGGATATGTTCTTCACAAGAGGATTTTTTTTTTTTTTTTTTTAATATCTGGAAGTGCTTAGAGGAAAACCAGTTTAGCAGCTCCCCCCTCCCCAGCAACCCTCTGTCAAAAGGAAAAATGCCTCATGTTTGGAAGATCTGTTAATTGCTTGCTTCTCCTCTGGTGATGTGTTGCTGTGAGGTTCAGCATATTCTTTTTGTCTTTGCTATCCACTTGGGTGGATTTTATTTTTTTTTTTCAGATCTGTGTTTTTGAAGTTTCTAAGCAAAGTTTCCTCTCCTCCCAGCAGCAGCGCAGAGCAGGCTGACACCCAATCCAAACTGCCACTGCCTGCTTTCAGGACAGAATTATTTCATAAACAGCTCAATCTTTTCCCAGGACATTTTTCCCTTCGCGTTGCCGGTTTTGCTGGCTGCTCCAGAGCATTCTGTAACGCTTTCCAGACTCCCCCTAAATTGGTAAAGAGCATTCACAGGGGTTTTCCATGCTCCTGTGTGTGTAGTTTAATGGGCAAACAGAAGGGCAGGGAGAGGGCTTAGTTTAAGTCTTTGAAGAGCTACCTGCAGTTGTAATGGTTATCCCACATGTCCATTATAATTCCCGGGAGGCAGCAATGTGTCCATTCCTGGCTGTGAGCACTATCCTGCAAAATTCTGACACTTTACACAGGGAGATTAATTCCGTTTTTATATTTCGCTCCTGGCTTGCGTTTGGCTCGAACATTTGGAAGCGTGGAGCTCACCTGTGTTTTCTGTGTGTGATATTTGAGCCTGGGAGTGTGCTAATGGTGAAAGGCAGCGTGCTGCAGGTTGTGTGCAGGGAGCAGGGGTCACGTTAGGAGAGAGCATGAGGAGAGACCGCGGCTGCGAGGCAGAGGCAGGAATTTGGTTTGCGGGAAGTGCTGCGATCCTACTCCATCCCTAAAGCATCTCCGTGGGAGTTTTTATGATATTTGGGCAAGCACAATAACAGTCGGGGCTCCAGTGTTGAAATTTGTTGCTTCAAAACTTCACTTTTTTCCCTTCCCGAGGACTTTTTGTATGTTTGTGTTTGCAGCCCTCGTAAATACATCTTTCAGTAGTTGGGTTTCTCAGTTCCCTCTGGATCTTCAGTCCTTTAGGCAGGATGAGAAAGAAGAGCCTGTATCACTTCATGTGGGGCTTCTTTCCTTGAGGTGCAAGAGGGAAGGATCTCAACTTCCCTAAACAGATCAATGGTTTTCTGGTTTGTGCTGCCTTGGTGTGTTTGGATGCACAAGGATGTCCAATTTAGAGGGAAAGCTGCTCTTAGGGACTCAGTTCCCATCCTCCAGCTGTTGATTGAATGTGCTGGTGTGTAACTTCTTGTTGCCCATCTCCCCTTCTGTGAAACAGGGGTTTACTCAGCTTCTCCCAAACATTTTCAATTATACTGATGAAAAATTGTACAGAAGTGCTTATTTTTCATAAAGGCAAACCAGTGTGAAATCCTGGATGAATTCCCTCTGGGATGTGGTGGAGTCCAGAGGCTCGTGGGTGGGGTGTGCTGTCCCTTACCAAGTCAGCTGTGGTGCAGTTATTTTCTGAACAGTCACTTTAACTTTCTTTCATACCCATTTATTTAAGAAACATCAGGCTGCTGCTGAGATGTTGGTTTGGAATAGCTTCTGAGCATTCCAGAGGCAGGGTGAGATCCTTGACAGCCATTCTAATGAGATGGAAATGTGTCCCACTTGGCAGTGCTCAGTTGTGCATAGGTAAGGATGTCCCTAGCACAGGAGGGGAGAGGAGGCTTTGCTGTAATGTGGCAGGTAGATGATAAATTAGAGCTGAAACTCACCTTTTTGCCTTGATTTTTGGGGATGTGGCTGGCTTTTATTGCAGCCCAGACAGTGGTGATGTTTTCCTGCTGCTCACTTGACTCATGTGTGCCCTTGGGAAAAAAAATACCCTGCAAATGTTGGAAGTTGCCCTGTATTTGCTTTATAGTGACTCTGAGTTGGCATCTCCTGCACTGGAAAGAGGCACCAAGGTGTCAAAAAATTTTTACAAACACATCTATGAGCTTGTCTGTGGACTAAAATACATTTGTTAACAAAAATGTCAGTTTGTACCAGGACCTCACCTGCCTAAGAACCCCACTAGCAGAGGTGAGCAGGGTTTTGTATACTAAGGAATATGTTTATATCTCTGTATACTGAAATACCTAGTTATCTTTCCTAATTATTTCCTTACCATATGTTGAACAAACTGCTTATTCCACCCAAGTGAGTTTGCTTCCTGGTTTTTCTGACCCCATGGAAAAGAGCTCTGCAGAAAGCTGATATTTCAGGGCTTTGGCTCGCTCCCTTAGAGAAAAGGGTTAAACAAAATTTACACCTTTTGCACTGATACAGCATCAGAGGAAATACCTTCCTGACTAGTGCTCAGATCATGCTCTGAAACAGAAGAATCAATGGTCTGTATTGGACATTAGGTGCTTAAAATATCCAAACCAAGCTAATTTAGGTGCTAATAAATGAAGTAGTCAGGACCCAGTTGCTCTTAACAGTCCTGCTACTATAAGGTTGGAGAATGAGGTGGTGGCTAAATATAAAATGAGCTTTTTTACTTCCTTCTTGTTACCAACGTGTCTTTCTTGGCTTCACTCCACTACTTTTTTTTAATAGTAGTTGATCAAATCTGGATTATGAGATTTGTGCTAAAAAGTAAACCAGGATCCTTACCCAAGGCACAGAGAGCTTGTATCACGATTACACAAAGAGAATTAGGTTGTTCTCAGAGCACTTCATATGTTAGCTTCAGTTTTGCACTAGTTGATTGTTTTACTCTTAGATTATTCATGACTCCTTGTGTGTCTTTTCTGTCTTTTAGGTGATCTTTCCCTCTTTCTCTTTTTACACCTCTTTACTTCTTTTTAAAAATCACCTCATGGTTCTTCCTCCTTTGGCTCCCTCCCTTTTTACGTACAGAGTTCGGGAACTTTGGCAAAGATCCCCTAATTAAAAAGCCAAAAACCAATGAGAAAGTTTGGGGGAAACCATTCTTTAGGGCAATTCCCAGTGTGATAAGTTTACAGTTCTCTAATCCTCTTTTTTTTAAGGTACTTTTTATGTTGTTTTTTGGCTAATAGATGCACAAGGGCAGAGTTGGTTTATTTTTTGCTTAGATTTCTTTTGTGATTTTTTAAAGTACAAGCTTAAGATCTTGTAGGAGGTCTTAAGGACATCTAATGGCACTTGGTGAGGTAAGTGTCATATGAGCCACAGGCATTTGAATTTTTCAGGTTGTGTTTTAATCTTCGCTGCTAGCGTAGCAGATATATTTGTAGCTAAATTCTTTTTTTTTTTTTTCCATGTCACCAGACTTTTCAAACCTGGCAGCCTGTACCAGTTCTGCCAAGTTCTTGCTGTGTTCCACTGGGTCCATGACATGAGTAATGTTGGGTCTGCTCTTCTCCTGGTACAACCAGATGAGAGAGAGAACAGAGATCAAAAAATGGGAATGATTTGAGCAACTGTTACTGTACCAGGATGCAGAGAGGGTGGGGAGACAGGCAGATGGAAATTATGGGAAAATGAATAAGGGAAATGCAGAGGAAATCCAAGTGCAGTGGAAATATTACTGGAACTGGAACTAGGTGCACACACCTGTGCCCTGTTGCAAAGGTGCATCCTGTCATATTAGCAACTTGTTACCCACTGGAATATTGTATTGTATTTCAGGCTGCATAGCTTTTACAGGCGTGGAAAATAAAGCTTCTCTTAGTTATTTGCATCTTCATTTTTGTGTTCGGGTGTTTTTTTGGTAAGAGAAGCAAAGTGTTTTCCTCAGTGCCTTTGTGGATGCTACTTGGTAGTTAAAATCTGAGGTCATGCTGGCTTTTGAAGGCTGTGATTCAGTCGAGCTGGATGGGAATAAAACTCAAATCTCTTCCTTTCACACAACATGGACACATGATTTTTCTGTGACCTTAGGCAAATATTTTGGTTTGGAGGGGAATCACTGTAACCATGAGGTGAGATTCATTCCAACCCCGTTTAAAGCCTGAGGGTGGCAGAGGTCACAGAAACATTAACTGAAACTTACATGTCAACTGAAACTATGTTGTTAAATTTTTAAAAAATCCTGTTATAAAATGCTGGTTTTTTAGAGTGGCATTTTCAAAGCACTTCTGGAAGCGTAGTCAGAAGTTGTTAACAGTCTTAATACTGGTATGGTAAACTCTCTTTACATTAACACAAAAGCTAAGTAATTTTTCCTGCATTATTAATTATAGGAAAATATTTGAATGTTTCTTGTTAAAATGGCAATCAGCGTTGTAAATGTGCAGTTATTTTAAACATTGCTTGTAATTGTGTGACACTGACGAGCTTTGTATTGAGTGAAGGTTTGGATTTTAATTTTTGCCTCCTATTCTTCCATTTCCAAACACAGGGCATCTGATGAACCTTCTGGAGCTTCTTACCAGAGACCATTCTCCTCTCTTCACTGAAACATGCACTGCCCAGCTGTGAAACATTGCAAGGTTTATTTTTGCTAACAGGAAACACTTTCAAGTATCGGTAAGTTCTCAGCATTTAAAGATATTTTTGTCATGTGGTATGGGAAAGAGAAAGGGAACCTGTAGAGAAAATCATTATGAGGGCTGACAGTTCTTCATAAAACTTAACATTTATAGCAAGGGCTCATTTAGAAATGTTGGTCATCTGCAAAAGTTGGAGAAATACCTCTGGCTGTTCTGCTCCCTCCTTGTGGCAGAGGTGCCTCCATCCATCACACTCACGTTTCTCTCTGTTTGATCACAAGAAGGAAACAGGTGCAGAGCTCCAAGCAAAAAAAGAAAAGTGAAGGGCTCAGCTTTGCCATTTTTACCAGTCTGTTCTGACTCTTTTTGTGCTCTGGGACAGGTGTAAGTGAGAGTTTTAACAGTAACAGAAGTAGAAATCCATACACCTTATTACACTTTGCTAATAAAGTCATTTCCCGTGTATCTGGGTTGGTCTGACTCCCTCACTTCACCACTTTATTTTTTCTTAACTGTCCAAATAACAAGACCAAAAAGAGCTCGCCAAAACAATTGCTATGGAGAAGCAATCAGAAATAGAGAAAGGCAAGACTTGGCAGTCCAGAATAGAAACTGAGAACAAAGTCACTGGTGTTTGCTTCAATTGGGTCATATTTGTTTTCAAGATTCTCAGTTCTGCCGTTTGCCATAAGAATGCTTGGATTTTCCTTATTACTTCATTTGTTTATTAGATATTTTATTTCACCTTCTGTGGCATTAATTTGTGTTGGAAAAGCTTTCTGGAGTTTTTTGTTCTGATTTTCCTTTCACAATCTGTTACTACAGAAGGTAATGCTTGAAATCACCAGTATTGATTTATAGCTTATTGTCATTAAGAGGGCTAATCTGTATATTGAAGATGTTTGAAATGCAGAGATCAAAAAGGATTTTGTTATGGCTAACAATATAAAGTTTTGAATAGAGAAGACTCAGAAGTGTGAGATTGTAAGTTGAATGTTGCCATTGTGATGTATATGCTATTCTGAAGAAAATAAAGTCTGTTTTATAAAAGAAAAATAGGTGTGTAAGGTGATAGTTTTAGTGGATGTGTCCTCACTGACAAAAGCCTTGGAGTAGTTGAACTATTCCTACTCCTTGTACTTTGTAACCATGAACACTCAGGTTTTCTCTGAGAAGCCTGTCTGTAAATGTGTTTTACTAGACCTAAATATCTGTATTTTACACAAAACTTTACAAATCTTGGGATTGTTTGGTCTCTTAACCCAGAATGGTGTCAGCCACTAGAAACTTGCAACAAAACGTTTCAAGAGCAAATTCTCCTGAGTGTTCCAGTGCAAATTTCTTTCAGGAGCTGTAGTGGTAGCTTTTAAACCTCAGTATTTTATAGGTCAGATAAGGTGAGTCTCTTTAAAGAGTCATTAAAGTGAGAATGTTTTGAAAAGCTCCCAAACAGGAAACCCTGTTGTTCAAGGATCTGATTGAAGTTTCAGTAGCTAAAATTAGACCTTTTTGTTCCCATACCTTTAAGAAGCAACTCTTGCTTACATTATTACGAAGTGGTAGCCAGGCTATAATTACTTTCAATGTATTGATACGCTTGGAATTGACTTTTTTGGAATTCATTAAGTCATAAGTAAGGATCTCATAACTGAGTTTGGAGGGAAATGATTAGGAAACATTTCACTGTTAATCTATTGCTAATAATTTGTTCTGGTTTTGTTTTTTGTCATAGTTCTGTCTTTCTCCTACAAGAGTTCACACCAGTGCTGTCAGAAGGTGAGGAACAGGGCACTGCCTGTGCTGCCCTGGGGCTGTTGATGTCCTCAGCTGTTGTAGGAGAAACACTAGACCTGGAACCCAGTTTGTTACTGGTAAGAAGTAATTATCTTGGATTTTATTTGTTTATTTATTCAATATTGCAGTTTGCAGGTTTTCTTTAACAAAATCAGCAAAAATCACTTGTTACTTTTAAGAACAATATAGCAAAATATGCATATCTTCTCTTTTCTTTCTTCCCCTTAAAATTTTTAACTTTACAGTTTCTAAATTTTGAATTCTAATTACCCTCCTCCCAAAATGTGGAGGACAACAGCTTTCACTTACCTCTCCTTTTCAGTCCTGGTTTTCTCTTGAAATTCTTCATGTACCATCAGAGCTAATGAAGGTTAATAAATGGATTTTTCTATGAAATCCTGTGTTTTGATTGCATTTTTATGCTGTCCAGCTCCTGCACATTAGCTCACCCATAGCTTCAGGTGGATGATTTGACAAGTCAAAGCCACAGACAAGTCTCTGGTTTAAAGTTTTGGAATAGAGTGAAATGTTTAATGATAACTCCCTGCTATTTTAAGTTGTGCTGTTGGAGTTAGATTTTGCTTTTGGTTCTTGTTTGGACTGTGGAAACAAAGCTTTAATGGGATGGTGAAATGCTGGGAGTGTGTAGTGCTCTACTGTGCTGTTTGAACTTTACTCTGGACTTTCTGGATTGTATCTGCTGCAGATTCTAAACAGAGATGTTGTTTTAATGCCGTCTATGATGGGGCAACCATGGCTTGAAGTTAGAGAAATTTTAGTGACTCTTGATCAGAACAATGTTAATAAATTTATGCTGGGACTTGGGGCTCTTTTTGCCTTGCAATCCCTGACAGTTCAGTGGGGCTGTCGAATTTGGCAATGAAAATGGAATTAGTATTTTTCTTTAAGTTTACTGAAAATCATGTGCCTCCCAAATCCCTGCCCTTTCTGTACTTCTATAGTTCTTCTCAAAGTGAACGGTGAAACTTGGATTTTCTTCTTGTGAGTCCCAGCCCATGAGGCTGAACCTGCACTATTGGGCTACAATCAAATGTGCCCATCCCTGGACAGCAGAGAGAAGTGGTGCACTTTGTTTGCATGAAACCCTGAGTTCTGAGTGACCCCTCTGGCTCAAGGGTCTGGTTTGGTCTGTTTGCAAACATCTGCCTCTTTCTCCTTGAATTCAGAGCTGTGGCTGGAATGACCAACTTAAAACAAGGGATGATTTTTCAGGAATCAGAATAAAGGAGTTTCTTTTTTGGCAACTGTTTATTTTTGTATATCTCTTTTGGACAAAGCTGATCATATGAATATAATTTAGTGTTAAACAGTATCAAGAAATTAAAGCTCTTTCAGAATTGTGTGTTGTTCCTCAAACACACTTGTGAGGAAACCCTGCACTTGCAGAGATTTTTGCTTGTAAATCTCCTGAGCAGTGTCTTTGCAGAGTTTCCATCCATGAGTATCCTGAGTCTTCCTTTTCTCTCCTTTACTGTCCTTTTCAGTTCCTAAGGGGTTTTGTTCTCCATTCTTTTCAGCACAGGGCAGATGGAGAGTAGGAATCCTGGGCATTTCTGTTGTCTTTAATTGGATAAAAGTGAAACCTCCATGCACACTGTGTCTTGTTGTGCAAGGAAGCATTTCAAGCCCAATCTCACCTTACAGAGCTCCTTTGCAGAGGAATTTAAAAAATGTTGGAATGTCTTGGGAGTGGAAAGGGACAGGACACAGGGGAAGCAGAGAAGTGGGGTGTGTTTGTTGGGTTTTTGTGTAATAAAGCATTGGAGTGAATTGGAGTTCTTCCTAAATCTGTTTTTACTTTTCTCTGAAGGGAGAAGGGGGAGGAAAAAACACATTTTTGGTTAAATTCCAGTTGGCATGTTTTCTCTAGGGAGCAGAGTGGTGGAGGAGTGCACTGGTGAGCATTTTGGTGCTCTTTACCTTTGGTCCTTGGTATTAACGTAGAAACACACTGAGAAAATTGATACAGACTAAGTGCCATGCACTTTAAATCTTCAGTTCACTTACATTCTCAGAAAAGAAAAAGTAAACAACCAACCAAACAAATCCTAACAACAGCAAACACCTCCCCCCGCCAAAAAAAACAACAAACCTCCAGGCCTTTTTTTTCCCCTGTTTTCTTTCTGAGGGAAGGAAGTTTATTTTTGTCCCCACTATTTCCCAGGGGACTGCTCTGTAGAGAATTTTGTGTGCAATTCATTTCTCATCCGTGACTTTTTGTCAAAATTTAAGTAATGCACTGGGATTTAGATGCAACCAATTTGTGCCCCCTAATTTTAGTGATGTTAAGATTTTGGTTAGGAGACTCATTCCTGGGGTGTATGCTGAGAAATTTGCCAATAAATAAATATTTACTCTTAAAACCTTTCCAGTGGGAAGCGAAGTGAGATTTAGACTCTTCCTGTGCCATCAGGTGCTATTTTCATGTTTAAATAACTGTACTGACAGTGCCAAATAAACCACTTTCATAGGTTCACTGTAGCTAGGGTTAAAGATTGTATAAATTATTAATGCTTACTTCAAGACCAGGGTTTTTCTGATATGAGAAATAAAAGCAGCCCTGTATCTTGACAGAAGTTTGCATGAAAGTGGCTCTTAAATCTGCTCACTTCATGTTCTTTTTGCTGTTATGTGCAATGCTTTGGTTTGGGACTTTTTTTTTAGTTCTTTTTGGAGAAGCAATAGACTTGAGTTACTGTTCTGCCTGTGAACTGGCTTATGAAGAAAGCCTGATCTGCTACAAATTTATTTTGTGGAAAATCTTCAGATGAACTTTCCTGGTTCATTGGCTTCCTGGAAAGCTGTGTTGTGGCCATGTGGCCTAAAGAATTCTGGTAGATGCTCAACTTTTAAAGCCTTCATGTACTAAAAAGACCTGAGATAAACCAAAAAATACATAATTAAACTTCATGGTCTGTTTCTAAGACATCTCCACTGTTTTCTACAGAAGTTTGAAGGGTACAGCTTTTCTGAAGAAATCTTTCCACAACATTTTTTAAGTGGAAATAAATATCCTTACCAGGGAAAGGAAAAAAAAAAAAAAGAAAAACAAACCATCAACAAGCCACAAAACAGCATGTGAAATTGGAACACAAGAACACAGGGTTTTAAAGCTTCCTGAATTTTTAACTACTAGCAAATTGCCTTAAATTTAACTTGGATTAATTCCCTAGTGATCCTTGACATTAAATGGATGTTCTGGTTTGACATGGGTAGACAGAAAACTAATTAATTCCTCTGAATTTGAGGCATATTTAATTTTCTCCCCAAAAGACCTCTGGTTTAAAAGGTACAATGCTGTGACAGATGGATGTGGAGTGACATGTGTGAGGGAGCAGACTTGTGACAGAGGAAGATCAAGACATCTACAGTAATAATTCCTGATTTGGAAACTGTTCAATTTTATTGATTACACTGAACAGGGGAGTATCCACTTCACTGCTTGCCTGAAAGTGCTGTAATGTGCCCACCTCAGTGGCCAGTAAGGAGTCTTGCATAGATTTTTGTCTCTTTGTGTTCAGTAAAAATTCCCTGATATCTTTTCTCTGACCATACCTTCTATTTCCTAAAGAAATGGGAAAGAGATCCATCCATCCATCCATCCATCCATCCATCCATCCATCCATCCATCCATCCATCCATCCATCCATGTCAGTGCCTGAACCTCAGACTGTTCCAGTCTAAACCAAAAGTAGCAAGAGACATATTTTGAATTCTTTATTTCTGCCACAAAAGCTTAAAAAAGGACAAGATGTATCTGAAGTGGACTGTTGTCAGTGGGGAGGACCTTGACCCACTGAACTAAGCTGAATAAAAGTATGAGATAGCAAAGAAATAAAATCTCGAGGAATTTATATCATTTCCAGTTGAAGAAGGAAAGATGTTGTGCCATAAATTCACAAGAGCAAGTGGAGACATTGACAAATACTGTGATGCTAATCTGTATGAAATTGAGGGAGAGAAAATTATCCTTGCAGGAGATTTCCCATCCTTCCTCCCCACGGTTCCAGGAAACTGGTGTCTTGGAATATGGATTTTAATATCCATGAAGGAGCAGTGAAAGGAAATGCCATATCCAAAACATTCTGACCCTTTCCTCACTGTGGGCTCTGAGATTTCCTTACATCTTCCCCTGAATTGTGTGGATATGGCAGCTGTTGGAGACACGACTGGTGATGGACAACTCACTTGATCCTATGTGGCAATTCATATTTCCTAAGGGGACTAAGCTGACTCTTCAACTCCTAAAAGTAGATGCAGTGGTGCTTTCTGGAATAAAGACAAAACTGAACTGTCACTCTGCCTTAAGAGGTGGTTCTGTCCAGCATGGAGCTGTTGGGAAGTGCTGGCAGCCACTTCCAGAGCCTGGATTAGAGATGCTGTGCTGGCTGGTGCCATCACAACCTTTTCAGGCCAAACACCTGAAAATTAATTTCTTTTTCTTCCCGTACTCCCTTACCCTGATTCTTGGTTTGATTTTCATTGATTTATGTTGTTTATTTGAGACAGAGATGGTGTCTGGGTGAGGATTTGGTTTGAGGTCGCTGGGCAGATTTCTGTGGTACATACGTGTGTGCAGCTGCACTGGTATTGACCTCTTCCAGTTCAATTAAAAAAAAAAAAAAAAAAAAAAGATTGGCTTCTCTGTGCATTCTGTGCTTAATTCTGCAGAAAAGCTTCACGGCTTTGAAGTGGATGAGCACAGTTCAGCCTGTTTGTGTGGCAGGAAGATGGTCCTTCCTCTCTTGAGGGAAGCAAATATTTCTCAATGATCAGGGACCAGCTGGCCTTGCAAATGAGGATTTCTGGGGCTGCAGAGATTCAGCTCCATCCTTGCAGAGCTGGAGGAGCTTGAAGCAGTCTTGCATAACTTGAACCTTTGAATCATCAGGTGGCTCTCTAGGAGGAGGTCCCACCTCACGGATGTTCTGTGGGCTGGGAGGTGCTTTTCTAGCCCACAGTGTTGGCTAAACTGCAGCTATTTTGCTCCTGCTGATGATAATAATAGCACAGGGTAGGGGAAGGGGGCAGGGTTCTGGTGGATCTGTGTTCCACAGCCCAGGAAACACACTTGGATGTGCCAAGGAAACTTCCTGAATCACGGCTGTGCTGCCCACTGCTGCGAGCCAGTGTGAGCAGATGGGACTGAATTTGTGTGTGAACTCCATGGATGTCAGCAAGGTGCTCCAGGCTGGGAACAGCCTCCTTAATGCCAGTGCTAACACTGAACCATGTGTGCTTCTAGGCTGTTCGACCTCAGAGGTTTTGTTTTTATAAGTAACTAAATCCAGCCTTCTGATGAGTGTGCCTGCACATAATGGCATTTGGAATTGGGTCCAGTTCTACAGTTGTGTGCTGACATGTGGACCTTCATATCAATTCCACAGTTGGGACTTTTTATATTGGAACAAATTCTAAGCTGCTGAGAGAAAGCAGTAAGATATCCTTCACCTTGGTGCTCTTAATTGTTAGGCCATTAAACCACTGTTCCGTGGTAGATAAATCTTGATAGTAAGTTCCATAAAAAGTGGTATAAGGCTAGAGGAAATGACAGATTTGAATGCCAAAGGCTCTGTAAAGCTGTGGCATCAAAGGCAAATATGGAGTTGCAAAGATAGTAACTGGAAAAAATTCAATCTGAAAATCCTCACACTGCTGATTACTGTCAACATTTAGGACCTTTTGTTCTGTTTTGGAGTGTAAGAGGAGGATAATCTGGAGCATAACTTAGAAGGTATCTTGCTCCTGGTACCAACTAGCCTTTTATTTCAGAAAACACTGCCAAATTTTATGAAAGGTGATCAAAAGCCCTGTGATTTTTTCTCAGCTTTATGTTGGTCATAAGGATCCTTTCTTAGGTGATCATGAGAATTTCTCAGTATCTGAGTGTGGCTGCAGGGTAAACTTGGAGATGTAAAGCAAGAAAAGAGCTTGTTTATTGCAAAGTATTGCTTGTAAGTATTTGAGCTTCAAATAACATTTTCATAGTTGTGCCAGTTTAGTTTGGGTGGGGACTTAAAACTTTGTGATCTGTGGTCTTGGAGTTGCCTGTTGCTCTTCTGGTTTTTAAACCATGTTTATAGCCCCTCCATGGCAGTATAACAAGGGAAATGCTGGGTTCAATCAGCTCCTGCTGTTCGAGAATTTCAGCTCTTCTGTGTGCTGCACATGATGCTTGTTCCCTCGAGGAAAATGTGTGACAGTGTACCCCTCAGTACTCTGTGGGCATCTGAGTATGGCTTCAAGTGCTGTATCTCTTTCAAAACCAAACTTCAACAAATTCACAGTAAAAACTGGCAGCTGTTGTTCTCTGGTTACTTCAGATGGGTTTTCCTACAAGTTTGTATTAGTTTAAGGAAATGTTTCTCTGGGAAGTTATGAGCCACTGGAGGATTGCCTTCAAATCTAGTCCTTTTTAATGTAAATTATTTGAAGTCTGGTCAAAGCAAGGTGCATTTTGTAATGATTGTGGAGGCACTGCAGGCATTAGCTGTGTTTGTGGCACTCTTCCCACATGAACCTGTCGCTTCTTTTGGTACAACCTGGGGTTTTTCTCAACCTTGTCTTGGATTTTGTAATCCTGTCACTCCCTTCCCCCTGCAGGACTTGTGGAAGAGGAAACATAAAGATCTCCAAATGAATAACCGAAAGGAAGATATGGAAATTGCTTCCCACTACCGTCACCTGCTGCGGGAGCTGAACGAGCAGAGGCAGCACGGGATCCTCTGCGACGTCTGCATCATCGTGGAGGGCAAGATCTTCAAGGCTCACAAAAACGTCCTCCTGGGGAGCAGCCGCTACTTCAAAACCCTCTACTGCCAGGTCCAGAAAACCTCTGACCAGGCCACAGTCACCCACCTGGACATTGTCACCGCCCAGGGCTTTAAGGCAATCATTGACTTCATGTACTCCGCACACCTGGCGCTGACCAGCAGGAACGTCATCGAGGTGATGTCGGCTGCCAGCTACCTGCAGATGACAGACATCGTGCAGGCCTGTCACAACTTCATCAAAGCAGCTCTGGACATAAGCATCAAGTCTGATGCCTCTGAGGACCTCGTTGATTATGAGCTGGGAGCCCCTTCCAGCAGCAGCACGGACGCTCTGATTTCGGCAGTGGTGGCTGGCAGGAGTATATCCCCCTGGTTAGCTCGGAGAACAAGCCCAGCAAACTCCTCTGGGGACTCGGCCATTGCCAGCTGCCACGAGGGAGGGAGTAGTTATGGGAAAGAGGATCAAGAACCAAAACCAGACAGCCACGAAGACGTTTCGTCCCAGTCTCTCTGGGCTAGTGACATGGGCTATGGGTCTTTGCGTATCAAAGAGGAGCAGGTGTCACCGTCCCATTACGGAGGGGGTGAGCTGCATTCTGCCAAGGATAGTGCAATACAGAGTGGGTTCTCAGAGCAAGGAGGGGGGGATGGCTGGCAGCCCACGGGCCGCAGGAAGAACAGGAAAAACAAAGAAACTGTCCGACATATTACACAGCAAGTGGAGGATGACAGCAGGGCAAACTCTCCTGTGCTGCCCCTTTTACCTGCCTCAGGATGGCCGTACAGCAGTCGAGACCCAAGTAAGTTATTCTTCCAGTTTTTGGGAATGAAACTGAAAACGTTGAGTTAATTAGATCTGTTTCTGGGATGATCTTATCAGCTTCTGAAATAGGAGCTTGCCAGAAATACAAAAATGTAGAAACTTGTGTTGCCAGCAATTCAGAGCACCAAGCACTGTGTGGTTCAGTCAGGAGCCTCGATGGAGGCTGGTTCTCCTATAAAAGTGATATTTTTGGTTTGGCTTTGAATGGCATAAATCACCCCGAAACCACCACTCTAACTGTTGGAATTAATGAGAGGAAAGGTTAAAGAAATTTATTTTAGCAGGTGTGGACATCGATGTCAAGGTTGAAGAATTTTCTTTCCACTGTGTATTGATGATGTAATTACACCACACACACAGGTGTAATTTAGTCTTACCGATACCATCTTCAGAATTTCCTGATATTCAGGTGTCACTTTCTCTTGGGTAATAAAACCACCACAGCTTCTTGCTGGTAATGGCAGGATAAGTGTTTAGTAACTCTCAAGAACAACATGTTTTTCTGAGGCATCACTATGGCTTCAAGTGTATTTTGATGTGTGACTGCTTGTGGTCTGAGACGAGTGGCTGCGTTTAAAGTGTGTAGCCAGTGAGAAAATTGTTTTCTTGACTTCCTTTGAATCTTCACTAGTTATTTTTTTGTCTCAAGATAACTGTCCCATTTGATTCATTAATCAGTGGCAATAAATAGATTCAGGAATGCTTCTGAATTAGGAGATAAGTGGTGTTTTCTAAGGACTTATGGGAGTGTCATAATAAACTCTCTCAAGCTGACTTCAAGAACTTAGTCTGTGCTGTGAGTTAGCCATTGCATACCAGAGTCCAAGTCAGCCAGGAGGAGGGTGTGGGAGATTATAGACTTTTATGTTGCCAAATTTGGATGAAAAAAAACAATACAAAGAGTTCTGAAAGTCTTAAAAGTCTTTATGGTCTGAAAAAGGAGGTTGAAGTTGCTCATATGCTAGAGTTTAAATGTGGTTTTCATTGAACAGTAACTCTACAAATGACTTGAGATTTATTATGTTTTATGGTTATCTGCTGCAGCAAGATAATTGCATGTAATTATTCTAATTAGCCGATGATAAAATCTAAACAACGTCAGTTAGAAGAAAAATGCGATATAATTTAAGGTAACGGTGATTTATGAAGAATCTCATTTTTGCAATGTGTTTATTTTATCCTTGTTTTGAGTGAAGACTCAGCATGGATTGCCTGGTCTCTGTTCTTATGCAACTATTTTTCATTTTCCATGGCATCCCATAAAAACAGCCCAACCACTTGTGCTGTGTGAGGGATGTGGGTTTGGACAGGTACCTGGAGTGAACCAGACACGTTGGAGTGGCTGCAGAAACAGAACTGCAGCTCTGATCCTCTTGGAAAGCTGGGAGAAAATTGAGTGTCTTTATGGAAAATAGTGCAGAACAGAAGAGATTGTATTCCTGGAAGCTGAATGAAACTTAGATTATTTAATTCCTAATTGTTAAAGAATTAAATTGCAGTGGCTGCTCACAGATGAGAGGAAGATGGCTCGAGGGGTTGACTCAGCACAGTGCTGAGACAGCACGTCAGCAGGCACATCAAATTATTTGTTCCAAATCTTGCCTTAAATGCAGTTTCCAATAAAGGAGGTGGTTTCAGTGGTGGGAAAAGGGCAGCTGAATGGTGGTGGTTGAGGGAAGAGTTTCAATATTCCAATAATGCTAGTAAAAGAAAAGGGAAAAATGAGTGGCAAGACTTCTTGCTGTCCAAAATGAGCAGGCTCAGGGGCTGCCTGTGCTGGCAGTGGCAACTGGCAGAGAGCAGTGTGTCCATGAGGAGCAAGGGGAGTGTGTGGTTCCCCATGTTGGCCATCTGGAGAGGTGAATGCAGGTGAAATTCTCCTTTCTGCCCTGCTGGACAGGGAGGTTCCTCTGCATTGTGAGGCCTGAGATTGTGGAGTGGGTGCATGTGGGTTTAACAGCAGGGATTATCCCTGCAAGCCCTGCGTGTGTTGTGGGTCAAGTTATGGTGTCTTTGGGGATTTGTTCAGTATGATTTCAAAGAATTTGAGATCCATACATGTTCAGTTTTAGTTAATCTTGGACACCTTGTCCACAGGCAGCCTCTTCTGGTTTGGAAAAAATCAAGTGGACATTCAGGTGAGGCTGATGCTCTTTCCCTGTGAAGTAAAAGCAGCCCTGCTACCCCAAAAACATCCCTGTATGGAGCCCTGCAAACAGTAGGGTCTTCTGGTCTTGCATGAGTATTTCCCATACCCAGCAGATGGGAGATATTTTTCTGCAAACTTCATATCCTGAACTACAGGGTTGTGTTTAGGCTGCATTTTGGTATCCCAGGTTCTTTCCTCTCCCATTAGAATTCAGCAGTGCTGTAGGGGTGTTGCAGACTTGACTCCTAAGTGTGAAGAATAATTGATTTTCTTGTGTGCAAATGGGTAGTGACACAATGCAGACACTTGTAACAAGTATTTGGGTTGTGTTTAAATTTCAGCTTGAAGTTGTCTTTGATTTAGTCGTGTCAGGTTTCATTTTTTAAAACAGACTTCATAGTCTAGGACTCTCTTTTGCCTCATTTATTTAGAAGTGTCCCTATCAGCAACGTTCACAGCTAAGATGGAAAGCTACTCACTGAGGAAATGGGTGTTGAATGTTCTTTCAGAAGTTACTGAAAGGAAAGAAAGTTACCTAGAACTCTTTGTTCTTTGAGGCTCGTTCACTTTTTTGATCTAATCAGTTATTTTAAGATGCTGCTTTCTGGAAGCTCTTGTTGGGTTCACTGGGGGAGTTTACAAATGCCTCTCTGCTGCTGGGCTAACACTGGACATTGCATTCTGGAAACACAAAAGCTGATTTAGGAGAATACTTCTTCAAAGCTCAGTCTTTCTCCTGAAATTGTGCGAGGTACTCTTTTGGTCTTGGTTGCAAACAGCCCTGCATTTCAGCAGCTTTTTGGAAGGGGAATCTTGCAAATAACCATTGCATCACCCTTTAAATTCAGTGATTGTTTGGGGCAGGATATTCACAGATGAAAAATACGCATCCTCTATTATGTATAGGAGTATTTAATTCCTGTTATATTACAAAGAAGCACATTGCAGTCACTGAAACTTTGATTTTGAAACAACTCGGCTCATTCACACTCAGCAGTGGTGCTGCTTTCAGTGGGAAAAACATTCTTATCAGTACAGGCAGGTGTATTAAAATGTCCCAAATATTTAAGTAGACTATTTAAATACAAATCAATGACATCTTAAAAAAAGACACAGATTTTATTTAAATTGAAAGGGTAAGAAAATTCTTTGTGAATCCATTGATTTCCCATATGCTGGTGGGGTGCTATTGAGAGTGTTTGAATCTGACAACATTGGAGATTAAAATAAAAAGGAGTGTCTGGGGTAATCTTATTAATGGTAATCTAACATAATGGAAATAGCAAGAGATTGTTAATGTCTGCCATGAAGATGGTCTTTTTCTTCCAAGAAAGAATGATCAAATGGGATTTGCAAAAGAATGCAAATGAAAAACGGAGGTGCTGGATTGTGATTCAGCTCTCAGTTTCTCAGGGTGCTGTCAGTCAAGCACAAAGCTTGATGAGCACCATCTTTACATGCTAGTTTCTGTTTATTAATTTGGACTGTCTGTTTAGCATCAAACACATTAGGTTTTGTCTTTCTCATCCTGTTTGGGTTGTTCAGGATGTCAGTCTGTCATTCCTTGTAGGAAACATTCATATATATGTTTTCCTCATCAAGACACATTAACTTGAAGCAGCAGTTCTCCAAAGTAAACTGAAGGATGGGCTTTTATAAATAATAACTTTCTTCATAATTGAGCCAAAAAAAAATTTCCTCCATGAACTTGCCCTCAAGAACAGGTCTGCCTTTTATTTTATCCCTTTTTCTTAAATTCTATAGATTTTCTAAAGGAACTTATTAGTCTTTGTATCAAAGATGCTTTTGAAATTCTGAAGTAGTCTTGTGCCTTGAACATCTTTATTTGCCTTAGGTTCCTGTTCCTTTAACCTTGCTGGATAAAATTTTTACAGAATTATACATCCTGGGTGTGTGGACTATAGGATCAGGTGGTGTTTGAAAAAGAGCATGGATATCTTCACTGTTAAGCCAGCAAAGTGTTGCTGGTTTTGCCTCTTCACAGAATGGAAAACTCTGCCATTTGAAGGGTGTCTTTTGAAGGATTTATTGACGGCTTTATTAATGTGTTAGTTCAAGCATGGTAGTTATGATTCAGGAATTTATTTCCAAGGAAATACTCCCACACATCTTCTGAGTGTTTGCACCCAAAAGCTGCAAGTGAATTTCTGTGTGCCAATTGACTGTGAAATGAAGCTAATTATTTTAAAAACAGAGCAGCCCTTTCTAAAGGAGCTACAGTTTGGGAACTCTTTTCTAATTTAACACATGTAGAGGAATTGCTGTGTTCTGTTAAGAAGAGCTTCAGGACTTGAGTAAGCCCAGACTGGTGACCTCCATGGGAAGGACAGGCAGGACTTTGCTGTATCCTTCTGACTTTGCAGAGCTCACAGTTCCTCTAACGTTTTCCCCATCAAAATCTTTAATTATGCACAAGTTCCCTCCCTCCTGGTGAGGAGAAGTTTCAGTCGCTCATTTTCCAATGGCACACGTGTGACTGCAGTGGCTGCTGCAGGGAGCTGAGCTCCCCAGGAATCCTGCAGACAGCTGGTGTCATCCACATTCCCCATCCCTTTTTCTGTCTTGGTTTCCAGAGAGCAAATTATGATTACAGGAGCTGTTGTGGAGCACAGATGCTGAACAGTTGGATCACATAGGGAGCTTACATTGCAAAAGGCTTCAGAGGCAGGCAAGGAAGAGTTTGTTCCAGATGAACTTTACAAAGTTTCTGCAGGTGAGGTCTCTGGACCTGACTACAGGCAGGTGAATGTGTGGATTTTCTTATTACAGGGTGATTTTCTCAGCAAGCTACTGGGCTTCCTGAAACT